GAGAGAGAGAGAGAGAGAGAGAGAGAGAGGAAAGGAGGGGGGGGAGCGAGGGGAGGGGGGGGAGGAAGGTAGTAATGACCTGCATCCCACATCGCGACGACGGCTTTGGATGGCCACCACGGACCACCACAGCTTACCACAGTGCCCGGATCACCACAGCCCACAGACCACCGACCACCACAGCTCACCACAGTGCCCGGAACACCACAGCCCACGAATCATGGACCACCACACGTAACGGGCTAAGACAGCCCCCGACCACCACAGCTTACCGTCCACCAGAGAGAGATGCAGAGAGAGAGAGAGAGAGAGAGAGAGAGAGAGAGAGAGAGAGAGAGAGAGAGAGAGAGTGGGGGCGATACTGACAGCACCCCTGGGGGAGTACAACTTGTTCGTGTCCGACAGCACGCTGCACAACGGGCGAAGTTACGAACGACAACCGACGGAGAACCACAGCCGAAATGGACAGATGCACATACGCCAGCAACATATGACAAAACCCTACCGGTAGTTACTGCGCCAAGAAACCCTACCGGTAGGGACCACGCTGAGAAATGGCCCTTGGGCAAACCGGTTCCCAGTACAAATCTGCAACCTAGCCACCGGGTCCTATCGGATCGACGGTCTGGATCAGTGCACGACCTTAAGATCTTAAGACCCCGGGGCCGATCGGGCATCGTCGATCTGGTAGGACCCAACGGCTGAGATTGCAGATATATTACATGTGCCCGACGATGCAGGCCGTCAGTCGGTAGGACAGACGACGGCCTGGATCACACACTGGTTCCCTTAGCGATTATAATAGTGTAGGGATATCTGCCTTCGCTACAGGAACTGAACCTAACTATCAATGCTTCGCCTTCAACCTTGCTGGCTGTTCTAAAGGGCTGGTTTTCGACCACTGACACTGGTATGCCCGCTTCCCAGCACAAAGTACACAGAACAGTGGAACGTCCCCGGCCACAGAGCATAACATTCCCACCTGGAAAGCCTGTACAAAGTTCCGCTGAGACTTGTGCCTGTCCTTCGGCATGTCTATAGCATCCTCCTGGCTGCGCTACCACATAAAATTAAGCGAGAAAACCTCGATTCACTGCTGTCAACAGATACTCTGTCGTCTCTCAGCTGAGCTGTTGCTAGTTCAGAACCTCCGACCACTTGAATGAGGCAGTCTCCCTGGAGCTGTTACGCACCAATATTTCAGAGGAAACATCCAGCAAAATGATGGAGACAATGTGGTCGCTCTTGATGTGAGAACAGAGTCGTTCTGGCAGTGTTATCCCGGAATGCAGCCTGACCCTACATGATTAGGTCCAGGCCAGTGTCTTCCATCAGGTCTGCAAAATGCCTACCCCTGAAAACAGGGTTCCACAGAGCCCACACCCTGGTAACTGTGGATTTCATATTCTAACCTCCAGTTTGCCACAGGAAGGAAGGTGTGTTGCCTGCTCAAAGTACAACAAAGAACGAGGACAATAATATGCACCAAAAACCCACACCAAAGCAGGGGCACAACGAACAGTCATCTACTGGTGATCACCATCACCATCTTGATTGTGGTCATAAGATCTTCCAGGATGGTATGGGCAAATCTCTGACCGCGGCACCACTATCCTCTCACTACCATCATCATCATCATCAATATTAACAAAACCACGACACCCTGCACAACCACAGTTGCAAATTAAGCGCTCATCTTTCGACGTGAACCTGTAGTCATATGTGAGCTCCTCACCAGCAGTGAGATCTCTCTTTGCAAAGATGATTATCCGATCTTCCCCATTGACTTGCACCATCTTTGAGAAGCAGTTTGGCTCACATGCATGATTTATCAAGTGAGCAATTGTGCCTGCTCCAGTGGCGTCCACTACACGCTCCTCATCTACGCGGAACATGTAAGTCCCTGCACCCACCAGTGAGTCGTAGCACCGCTTTTCTCTCATATCTGCTACTACAGGCCGTACCAGCTCCCCTCCGTACTCAATGACCATATCCCCTCCCCGATGAACCTTCTTTGTAAACACGCCCCAGCCATGAATAGCAGACTTGCCAAATGTGAGCCGCTCGTGCATGCTGGATCGCATATACCTAACTCTCTCAGACATTGATAAGACATCTTTCTTCTTTGTGGCCGATCCAACTGTAGTGGCACCTCCGATTCCTCCTACAGTGCTCCCAGCTCCCTCGCTTCGACTGTCGACAAGCTCCCCACCACCATTCGTTACGGTGGCCCAGTTCACACTAGAAGCACTGCTTCCACGGCCGCCAAATGTCCTTCCATCACCTGCACTCTCGCCAGCTGATGCAAGCCGGGACAGGTTTCCACTAGCTTGTGCCTGCACAACCTTTCCCCCAACTGGATGCACACCACCATTCGCAAGTTGAACAGGAGGCACGGGAAATAGATTATCCCGGCGTCCATTGATAATGTATGGCACATTCTCCACGAAGAGCCGCTTGGCCAGTGCTGCGGCAACAGCTTCTGGCTCTCGCCTACCCCTTCGCACAGCAGCATTGTATGGCTCTGAACGTGCACATCCTGAGGGGTTCGGCGGAGGGTTGTATGCTTCCTGGCTCAGTTGAATTCCTGTAGCCTTCAGAAGAGGCCTCTGCTCAGCTCCCTGCTTAGCGTTTCCCTGTTCTGGACCATGCTTTTTACAGTATGAAAGCAACTTGATTGTCATGGACTCGTCGTCACCCTTGCTTCTGCCGTACTCCTCCTCCTTGAACTCGAAGACAAGTCCAGCGTTACGCCCACAAAGGACATGGTATGCCAGATAGCATGTCCTCACGTTGCACTGAATGCATGCCCCATAAGGAATCTTACAAATGTGACATGTCAGTTTCCAGCGATCTTTGCTGATCCGACCCACACCATCAATGGGTTCCATTCGCTTCACATCCAACAAACATGTCTCTGGAATCCAAGTTGCACAGGTTATGTGAGCCCAAGCACCATCAGTGGTTCTCTTCATTGCACCACCCACGACCGGGCAGAGGCAGCAAATGGGTGGTCGTTTGGGAGCACCCGGGCGACAAAGCGAACAAAGCCACAGATCTCCATCTGGAGGCTCCAACTCCCCGTAACAATTCATGTGAACCATGACATGACACTTGTCACATTGCAAGAGCTGGTTATCCAATGTTTCCTCATCGGTGTAGCAAACATCACACCGATCACCAGAGCGTTCTACATAGACAGGTCGGTATCCAGTTGGCATAACTCCTGGGCAATCCTGCAAGCTATCTGGGAGCACCTTCGGTGACAAATTGTTCGCCTCTTTCCCCATGCGCATCCCACCCTCACCGCACATTTGCAATCCTCGGTCACATCCACTCACCCATTTTGAAAACCGATTGCATCTCCTCGCATTCGGGAGAGCTTGAATGAAGGCTGCCACCTGAGGAACTGCATAGCCAAACATGACTGGCCCAGAACGAACGGAATGAGTGAAGCACCGGGGATGTTCTTCTTCTGCAAGCTTTGACTTTTCATCAGCAACACAGTCTGAGATAAAGCGCCAGCAAGCAGTCGGTGTGCCACCCTCAACTGTCATACCATCCGCCGGGATAACCCTGAAGAGTGGCAACTTCCGAGAGGTTGGATGACGTACAACTTCCATTTTATATTCCACCAACTTGGTTGGATCTCTCATGGACGGGAAATAGCGAGAAGCACTGTATCCCTCAGTAACTATATTGTAGCAAGTGTGAAAATGCTCCGAGTCTGTCACAACTGTCCCTAGACTGTGGACTGTCAGGTTTCCCAGCTTGAGTGGCATCTTCGGTGGAACGTTGTGATCCACTGCACGCCCCCCATTCGCTGCCTGTCCATCATCCCCTTCATCTTCCTCCTCTTCAACGAGCTGCCCGTCAGAATCTGTGCAATCACTGTCCATCAGCGGAGGAAGCTTATGCTCATTCATGTACCGCTCTGCCTCTTCCAGTGCATTCAGGAAAACAGTTTTCTGAGACTTGTAGTGATATTGTCGGTCGATGCCACTCGAAAATCCTTCAACGTACTTGTGATGCAGCCTTGCATACTCAAATGTCCCAAAGAATTGCACCGGCACTGTGTGCACTTCCCGACTGTTTGGTGCAGAGCCAATCTTCCTCTCGGCATACTGCTCGTCCAGGACCAGTGCAGGCCACATTGGGTAAAACTTAATCTTCCCCCAAACAACATCCCCCGGCATCATGGCACCTTCCGAGCTGTCCAAAGTCACACTCGCAGAGTCAACTGTACTTCCCCTCTTTTTCTTCTTCCCCTGGTTCCCTCCCCTCTTCGGCCCACTCCCACTGCCACTCACCTCCCCACCTGGCCGTGTTTCCTCGCTTTCAGCAGAGGAGGGCTCCTTCTCCTGGTCCGGGTTGAAGTTCCACTGCTCACCGGGTGCCAACTTCAGCTGAACTCGTTCCTCAGCAAGAATGAGCCACTCGTTCTCATCATCATTGTAGTCCACCTTATGTTTCTGAGTCTGAGGATTATAGCTCTTTATAGTGCCCGCATACCATGCGTCATCCAACGGCCAGTACACCTTGCACATGCGCCCAAGCAGAGCCGAGGGAGGAGCTCCCACAAGACTCACCTCTCTCCAGGTCTCTCTTCTCTTCTTACCTTGACGAAATGCCCGCATAGCCTCAGTTAGTTTCCTTGATCGAGGGGTCATCCTACAGCTCGCATCAGACCGCTTTGACCTTTTGGCCGCCTTTGGAGTATGGGGAAACGTTGAAGCAAGTGCATCTTCGTCTTCCGACAGATTGGCGGCACCCTGGAGGCTACCCTCCTCTCCTACCAACTCTGTACCCACCTTGTTCGCTTCTTTCCAACCATTACCTACATGCTCTACTGGTGTTTCTCTACTATGTACCGCACTCTCCTCAGGGTCCGTTGGCTTGGCATCATCCGGCCTCTCCTGGTCCCCAATCTTTCTTACATCTGCTCTCTCAAAACTCACTGCAGATTCTCCTCTCTGGGTCCCACACCGAGCCATGAGCGCTTTTTCGCCTGGTTCTGCAGGCACTTCAGGTGGCATAGATTTGTTCCTTTGCCTGTTGGACAGTACTCTTTTCTTTCCTTGCGACACATGCCGGAGACGTCTCCCTACCATACTCGACCTCCTACCTCTGACCGGTGTTCCTTGACCATCCATTCTTTGCTGCTCCTCATCCTCAGTAACAGTGCTCGCCCTTCTCTGTGATCTGAGCTCTCCTGTTCCACTACTGTGACGAGTAACACACTCACGACTGCGCAGTTGTTTGCCCTGCTCATTTTTTCTGCCTGACACCAGGCTGCCTTTTCTTAGGATTTTGGTATCCTTACTGGACACAGTGGTTGCATTATTTCGGCGATGAAGGGTTGTACTCCGCACGTGAAAAGCGTACTGCGCATCATGACCATACTCACCTTGTGCAGAGTGCAGCTGCTCCTGGACAGCTGACTTTGCTACCCTGTCACACACTCTTGAAGCATTATCCATCACATCATCTCCTTCCTTATCCTCGCTCTTGGCTGTGCTACATTGTTCATTCTTCAGGTTCCCCCGCTCAGACACCCGCTCCCCCTTGAGCTTCATCATCGGCTCACCTGATGCAGTTCCGCATGGGGAGGCCCTTCTGGGTTGAGGAGCGTGAGACCCATTCTGGTTTGGGCTTCGGAAAACTCTGTGAGACTGACCACAAGGGGCCTTTGAATGTGGGTTCAGGTTCTGGGAAACTTTATGGCAAGGTTGGCTGCTTGGGGACACACTCTGGCAACGGCTTGGTATGGCCCTGAGCTCCTGGCTTCCGGATTCCAGGCGATTCTGCTCTGGCTGATGACACACCCGATCTTGTTGCCCTGCATTCCTGTGGCGCTGCCAAATCCAGTCAAGCTTTGCCTGCATGCAATGCCTTGATGATGTGACCGATGAATGCTCTTCTGCTTTTCCCATCACTTTGTTGCCCGCCTTCACGCCAGGTTCACCACCCCCAACTCGCTGTTGAACAATGGCAGCACCCTTTTGTTGTCTTGGCTCATCTTCACCTTTCTGAGCAGGCGTTGTTCCCTTTTCTATCCCCATCCTTTGCCTTTTCTTGACGGGTTTCCATGCCTCCCCTTGCCTAGCCACTCGTTCTGTTCTCTTTTGCCCATGATCCTGGATCTGCTCACTGTCCAACGTCGTCTCCATGCACGTAGTATCAGCCGCCTCCGTTGCACCCCAGCGGTCTAGGGTTGAAGCTTGATGTGCAGTTTGTTCCCACCTGTACTCCTTGGCAGGTTCTGTGCCTCCTGCCTCTCGCAAATTTCGTTCCTCGGCAGTTTGATCCCTCCCATTGTGCTCCCTGGAGTTCAGCTCCCTCGAGTTCCATTCCCTGGAGCTTCGATCCCAACCTGTTCGGGCTGTTTGCCGAAAATGGCCACCCTTCTGGTCATGTACCTTCACCTTGCAACCTATTCTCTCCACTTCTCCGAGGCTTTGCCTCAGCGAACACGGCATCTCCATTCCTTCCCCATCATTCTTCGCTGCACCCCATGGCTCTCTGCCACTATGGCGCTCTTCCTTCACCTTGCAACCTTTTCTCTCCACTTCTCCGTGGGTCTTCCTCAGCGAACGCAGCATCTCCATTCCTTCACCATGGCGCTCTTCATTCACCTTGCAACCTTTTCTCTCCACTTCTCCGTGCGTCTTCCTCAGCGAACGCGTCATCTCCATTCCTTCACCATCATTCTTCGCTGCACCCCATGGCTCTCTGCCACCATGGCGCTCTTCCTTCACCTTGCAACCTATTCTCTCCACTTCTCCGAGGCTCTGCCTCAGCGAACACGGCATCTCCATTCCTTCCTCATCATTCTCCACCACACCCCATGGCTCTCTGCCACCATAGCACTCTTCCTTCACCTTGCAACTTTTTCTCTCAACTTCTCTGAGGCTCTGCCTCAGCGAACACGGCATCTCCACTCCTTCCCCATCATTCTTCGCCGCACCCCATGGCTCTCTGCCACCACGGTGCTCTTGACGGGGTTCCACCCCATGGGAATTCGGTGTTAGCATGCCCCGCTGTTCTCCCTTGGACTCCACTGCTCTCTGCACCTCCTCATCTTGGCTAGGCATGGACTGTGGCTCTGACCTCCCCTCCGCCCTCGGGTACATGTCTCTCCGTCGCATTTCCCTACACGAATCGATGCCCCAGTCATCTCGCCTGCGTTTTCGTACACCAGAATCCACCTGCTTCACGCCCTGTCTCTTCGGCTCCCCCTCAAATACCTTTCGAACCCTTCTTAGTCCCACGGTATCTGTCATCACCTCCCGCCATGGTGGCCTGTCATCTGACCTTTCTGTTTCCTGCATTTCGGACACATCACGATCGCTCCACCTGCACACCTTGAGCTCCCTCCCATCTGACCTTCTTCTTCTTTCAATCTCTTCGTCGACCATTCCTTTGTCCATGTCCAGGGCTTCCAGACCCCCCCCAACTCTTGTGCTTTCCAGCCCACCAAACGGCTTCATCAATGGCTTTATCATGTCGTAACCCTGCTTTGCCTTTCCTACAACCTTCATTGCCTTCCTCGTCCTATTTTTTACAAAGGACAACACGCACAGAGAACTCTCCCGTCTGATGTAGCAACACAGTCCCCATGCTCTTCCTCCTCCCTCCTCTTTCTGTGTACCAGCCGGAAGATCCCATCCCACCACTTACTTTGCTTCACTTCTTTTTACAAAAATAAGCAAGCAAAATGCTAAAGGGCCACATTTTAATCCCTCCTCGTGCCCTGAACTGAACCGAATTTCAACCCCTCTACATCCCTTCCCTGAACCATACGAACCAAGTTATTTTATGTGTTTTTGTCACCGCACCTTTCGTACTTCTCTGTCCCCAGCCTCTCGCTAGCCCTTCCTTGTTTCTCCAAGATTCTGTCTTGCTCTGCATCTCCAGGCACTGTTCCTGTTTCCAGCTCTGTTCATGGCCCCGTTCACTTCCTCCTTACCGCTGAGCCTTTCCACCAGGTAACCCTGCATGGAGACCCAGTTTATATAAATGTTCAGAGGCTCTGAAGGCGAAGGACGTTTACGTCTCGAGTTCTTTCTTTGTTTCTCTCCTTGAATAAAATATTAAAATACCACTAAACAAATAAACTTAAGATGCTCATCAGAAAAATAAATAGCATGAGAGACTTTCTTGGACAGACACCTGGCTACAGAGTAACAGTGAATGAAATGCATCCGGACCTTGAAACGGTTGCATGGGTACAGATTGGCGCTGGACGCTGGACTCACCAAGATGGCAGAGGACTGAGGAGAGCACAACATCCACCAGAAAAAAAAAAAAAAAAGCATTCAGCTGCCAGGGAAACGGACTAGCCACAGTGCAAAACTCGGCTCTTCGACACCTTGTGAAGCCACCTCACCAACGTCAACCACATTATCACTAATTTTCGTTTATTATACAAATTAAAATCCTTATTACCCACCTCAACCTCACCGTTACCCTCAAGTAGGTAATAGAAGAAGGGTCAAAAGTCAAAGCCTCAATAGTGACTGGTCTCAGGGGCAAAATCGCCAGGTCGTGGAGTCATCCTGTCTAGGCAGAGCACTCAGCCCGGACGTTGCCGTGCATACGTCTACGCAAATATGTTTAGTTAGCAAACCTAACAAAATCTGAAAACCAAGGTTTTGACCAACGAGCCTAAATCAGCTGCAGACCAGAGTTCGAATCCAGATGGAACTAGATGAATGAAATCAAATATTTGATTATATTTCTGAATTATCTGGCACCGGTCAGTTCCACTGTGATATCCCAAGGCTGTCACCCTTTTCTACAAGAAGAAGAAAATCAAGGTTTACCGTTTTAGACTTCTAATACCGTTTTCGTTTTTTGTCTGCTTCCAGCGTACATTTCATCAAATCCAGATAGCCGAGGCAAGAGCACTTGCAAGTTGAAACTCTGCTTTGACATGCAAAGAATGTGCGATGGTCGTACTAATGGATTGTGAAAACGAAGGAAGTTGAAATTACAAAATCTGAAAATCAAGGGTTTTTTTCTGCTTTAGCGCTTTCAGACTGGCAGCAGCATGCCTTCTTATTGCCTCCCCTCCCCGTCCAACCCCTTGCCCAATCCAGACAAGTCAGGGCCCTCTAACAGGGTGTTGTTCACATCGGACCTGTTTTCCTTTTAAACCACCAGTACTTCTCGAAAGTGCGGTCGTTACCACGCCAGGAAGTGCTGGGATGAACGGTCCTGCCGCGCTGGGCTATATTAATTTGAACGAACCATCTCAGCGCTAACGCGCCACTCTCTTCAGAAGTACCGGGCATTTAAGAATCAGTATACAACACAGACTGAAGGAATCCAACAGATGAGATGCAAATAGCAAACGAGCGAAAACAATACGAACGTGTTTATGAGAACAAGCGCGCGTGGCTGACCGCAGTGATGATCGTTTGCATCAGATCAGAGCAAACTATAAATGTCTCCGAGAATAAACCGGAACGAACGACAAAGGGATGGGAATGGTTGCAAAACGCAAGGGCTGCTGAACATTAGAAGATGAGACTTCTATTGCACATGTGACGCCATCAATCTGGCTCGGATCGGATATGACGTTTAGGGTTCAAATCCGCAAAAGCAGACCATTCTTTTAGCAAACAGCAGATCATTCTTTTAGCAAACACAAAGCGAGTAGCCTGGTACCTCAGCCTATCGCTCTGATTCCGTCAGGATTCGACCTTATGTATGGCCAGCAGTTTATTAAGACATATGTGTACCATTCAGGTACATGGGCGGATTCTTGTTTATTGCTCATAATATATCTTCCGTTTTGTTGACAAAGGCCCCCGGCTTCATACATCCTCGGTCAAGCCCACCGATCTTCCCTTTAGCACAACACCCCCTATTCGTGAACTTTCATAAGCTAATCTGTCCTGACTGATACAGTCATGACGAGTGTGCACTGTGTTTGGAGGAAGAGAGGAGTCATGTCGCGAGAGGCTGGAACATGATTGGGAGGGGGTATTGCTGTTGTAATTAGACTTCCAATTGAGAACATGTGGGCCAGTCGGTGACCGAGGCAGGTCCAGAGGTGGAAAATCGAACCACCACCCCCTTGGGAGGACCGACTCTAGAGAGTTGACGGTGCCCACGGCATCATCAACACATCACCATGAGATGTCACCGGGAATTCTCAACTTCAGCCAGGACATGCACACCACAAGCGTGGGGTAAGTCCGCCGAATTCAAGTGGACAGAAGGGGAGAAGAATACAACTACAACGCCCACACTAGGTGGCCTCATTGACTTGATCCTTCATGCATAAGCATGGAAATTAAGCACAACTTGGAGTTCGACAGTCTGGCCCAATTGACTGTGGATTCAGCTTGGTGCCCGGAAAGGTAGTAGAAGCCGCACCTGGTCTAAGAGCGGATCAGATTCATTCTAGCCTGCAAAACTCTCTCTGATGGCCAAACAAGGAGAGTACAGTGCCCACTGTCCGTGACACATTCAGCAGATCCTTTGTAGATTCACATGGCAGCCGTGCACAACCCAGAGTCACAGGGTCTGGCACCATTTCACTGTATATTCAAATCAAACTGCTCGAATGTAAATGAACCTGTTCTACAAGCAGGCTGGATTCGTGCTGGGCTACATGAATTACCAGAGAGCCCAGTTGGACCTGGGCTGCAGCACGCGCTGCAGTCCTGGAAGCCCAACACTGATGCTTATCCTGTGCGAAACGAATACAAAGTTACAAACATCATCAATAACAAATCCAGGTTCCTCCTAACATAAATCATACCACCGTGGTCTGTCGCTAAAAACGGCAGAGATCAGACCAGACTTGGTTGGCGCCATCAGTTGAGATCCAGAAAGATGCCTTTGCTTTTTTGGTGCTCCTTCTACGATCTGCGAATTTTCATTTGTCACTCTCTCTTTGATTGGGGTTGACTTTAGTGGGACTAACAAGCAACCCAGTTGCAGGTTAAAATCTTATCGAATCAAGTATGAATGCAAGGGCTCCGTAGGCGCCTGACTTGAATGAAAGAAAGCCCCCCCAAAAAGCTACAAGAAACATCACTTCTGAGACAATGAACAAACGGCTCCACCGATCGAAAAAAAGCATGAACCCATTGAATGAAAGAAAGCCCCCTCAAACAGCTACAAGAAACATTATTTCTGAGACAATGAACAAACGGCTCCACCCCCAGGCCCCAATGGTGCCATGTTTGATCGAAGAAAAGCATGAACCCATCCAAGAGGACAGCCATGCTTTCCAAACATGAATGTAGCGCCAGTAGGGCCAGGCTTTTACCCCACCACTCGCTCCCCAGCCTACCTGCTGCACTACCCTTGAGCCCTCTAGCACCCCCGTCCACACCCTGCTCTTGCCCCCSCCCCCCCCCCCCCCCCCCCCCCMMAACCCTGCCTCCCATCAGCGTCCGATCCTCGATAGGCCTGGATGGATGTTTCACAGAGATTAAACTTGCCTGTGCAAGATGTATCAGCAAGTGTGCGAAACAAGTCAGCAAGTGTGCCTACAAAGATTATTTGAATGCACACACCTGGACAAAGGCCTTCCGATGTCTCATCAGGTATGTTGAAACCAAGCCGCCCTCCATGGTTGCTGCCCTCCCACTCCTTGGGAACACCGCCTGCCGGTTCCCATCAACAATGTCCATCTCTTCCTCCCTCTCTCTCTCTCTCTCTCTCTCTCTCTCTCTCTCTCTCTCTCTCTCTCTCTCTCTCTCTCTCTCTCTCTCTCTCCTCCCCCTGTTTCAATTTCTTCCCTCTTCCATAGCTCAACTCATCAGCCCTGCACCATACACACCCACCACTCTGTTGCTGAATGCCCACCGGCCAGTGAAACCGGAATCACGAATGGTGATTTCAACCAATCACAAGACATCAACTACTTACGTATTCACCACAACAGTAATTCAAACTTTCGGTCAATTCTAAAGCCAGCATCCAAGCAAACCACTGAACTCAAACATACACTACAGCCAACTTTCGAGCAACACTAAACTCAACATCCAAGCACCGAAATCGTTTGACAAAAGTGCACATCCAAATAAACACTAAACCCAAAACCAAAACAACAAACACTAAAATCAACATCCAAGCAAAACCCAACACCAAAAAAACAAACACTAAACTCAACATCCAAGCAACATTAAGAATCAACATGAAAGGCACCCACCACACTGGTTTATCGCAACAGATGCAGTCAAACCAGCATTTTTTTTCAGATTCAGTCAAACCAGCATTTTTTTTTCCAGCCAACTGAAACAAAAAAGGAAATATGGAAACAGAACTACAAACACGAAAGAGCTGGCTGCACGCAGCGTCAAGACATATAGAATAAAACAGTTAAAACTTCAATCGCCGAGCGATTCCGGGGCAGCTAGCTGATCAACACACAGGAAAACCTAAAGAAGACAAGATTTCAATTGGAGGATACATAACAGTTTGTTACCGTCACGCTCATGGCAAGGGCATCGAGCGATGACGGATTAGCACTCAACGCTCAACGAACAGATGCAAGCAGAACCAATGCATGGCACACAACCACCCAAAAAAAGAGGCAAAGAATCATTCCCCACCAAAACAGCAACTACCAACTTCACCCGAACAGAAGGTACCGCCATTATCGCCATATCTAGACTGAAAGTTGCCCCGAATACAAGTATCATATCCGTACGTTCACTTCAGGGGAAGACGGTAGCTGTCTCTATCGGAGCTCATACGGCGGCAGAACAGCAAAAAGATCAAATCGTGTCCAATCAAATCGGCAGCATACCATGAAGGGCATGTTCTCAGCAGGCAGGTGAGTGCGCTACGAGAAAAAAATGGGAATGTTGGAGCAGCAGCCCTCGATACCCTACCCTGCGCCGAACAGTCAGAAAGACCTGCCTGCCTCAGTCTTCAAGATCATTCATTTCCTTCGAGCGAATATCAGGCTTTCATCAAGGCAAGAATATATATACACTCTGGAACTTGCAAAGCATTATTTCAAAGC